TCTGGATGGCCTCCCATCCATCTGGCATAACAACTGCACCACCCAGCTCAGTATCGTCAGCAAATTTGCTGAGGGTGCACTCGATGCCACTGTCTGTGTCATTGATGAAGATACTAAACAACATCGGTCCCAGTACAGACCCTTGAGGGACACCACTTGTCACTTCTTTGTCATGTGCTGTGCTGGTAATTTTTTCATTCTATCTCATCTTGTTCAAACCATTTTATCTCATGTGGTCTAACCAAAGTGTAGCATGTCTTCATCAGTCAGTCCCGTGTGTTAGTAGGGTCTGGATGTAGGCAAACAATTTAGTCAGTAGAGAAACATCAGTTGTGCAGGGCAGCAGGTGCAGCAGAGGAGCCAGGCCACCTGTGTCTCGGTGTACCACAGAGTCTGGTTTGGGGCAAGACAGCTTGCTGCTGCAACTGTGAGGAGCCATGTAGGATGGCAGCCTCTCCAGGCACAGCATCCTGACTCCATTCTCTGCCCGCATCCACAGGGGATCTCCAAAGCTGGCTACTGGGGATGCTCACTTCAAAATTTATCCCCTCTCCCCTCTACTCATCCTGGTGCTGAAATCATCCCAGGAGCAGCACAGTTACATGTCGTCTGTGCTCTGGAGAGCTGTAAGCCTGACGTAGTGCCAGGAGAGGAACTGCTGCAAGAGGTTCTTGTGAGGGCTGCTTTCTCCTCTGTTCTGTTTTGTTAAGAGAAACATAGAGGGGAATCCAAGTCAACTGTTGCTTGTAGAGTCTAATGTGAACACACGGAGATGATGGTAACAGCAGGAAGACAGTGAAATCTGTACCCAGATACTGAGTCTCTATTTTTAGCATCCTGTGCACTTTAAAATGCTTAGGTGATAACAAGAGATAATTTTATGGGATGAAAAATAATATACAAGATTAAAAGTTGAAGTTAAGTTACAAATACATATCTCCTATCTGAATACAGACAGACATAAACAGCTGATCACCAAAATATCTGAAGACACTGTTCCTTTATTCACTGGAGTTTAATGCCTTAAAACTATGTAACTTTTGTAATAGTTGAGATGGGGTTTTAAACAGATTTGGAATAGGTCATTTCCTTAGTTTCAAGGTTCAGTAGCTGTCGGAGTGGCCTGGTGTGCAGCACTGCACTGAACTCAGGTCTGTTCTGTGCATGGGATGAAAGGTGCCTGAGACTTTGTGTTTCCTGTGATTATCCATCTCCCCTCCATTTTCCCATGCAGTGGCATTGCTCTCTCTTCCAGACACTCCATTTGTATAATTTCTAGGCACCTTTGGGAAGCCTAGGGATTATAAAAGGTATATGAATGAATGTTTTATGATGTTATTGATGACTGCAGAGCAAACGCTTTTCTAATAAACTGCTGTGAGATAAGTTACTGGTAGCATCTGTAGAGATGTGTGCAAATGAGTTCAAAATAATTAATACTGTGTTAGAAGAAAGCTTTTTTTTTAAAGCACAGCTGTATTGGAGCATATAAGATTATTTCAGCCTGCTCTGAGAATGTGTTATAGCACGAATTGCCATAATTTATTAGGGGGAAAGCCATTTCTGTTAATCATATATTAATTATTCATAAAATCTGTATTAATGTTACCTTAATGGGAAGCGTTACCAGCTGAGGTACTAGGTTTGACAATCTATTCACATACAAAATAGATTAATAGCTTGACTTAAAAAGAGGACATAAAAATGACTTACGAGAACATAAAAAGGAGCAAGCATGGGTATATGAGTTAACATAGAGCTGGCTTTGGTATCACAGTCCAGCCAGCTACCCAGTTTGTATTTTGGCTCTAGCACTGTTTTGTGCCTGAGTGGAATTTCACTGGAATCACTGAAGGATGTTTGTTAGAAACCAGTCCTGTATACCTTGCCCTAAAGCTTTTCACCTCTTCAGCAAGCATAAATCTGATGAATCTGAATAAAATAGGAAGAGTCTCTTTCCCATTCTACTTTAACAGAAAATAAACATAAAATAACCCACAAAAAAAATCATCCACATTTTTATTTCAGTAATTTAAATTCAGAATAAATTCTTCCTGCTGGGTAAAAAAAATATTTTTCCAACTTTTTAATCTTCTCAGAAAGCTGTTGTAAACTCTGTGATGACATGTGAAAATGCTGCTCAGAGGATGTGTTTCAACCCGGAATGCATGTGGAAGTGTGTGTATAGATATGTGCTTGTGCAGGCGTATGCAGCTTGCTAGGTGCTCTACTTAATTAAAGGAGGATGTCAACTTTTAGGTTATGACTCAAGACTACAGGATATATTTTGATAGAAATTTAGCAAAATCAAACAGAAAATTAAATTTCAAAAATACATTTTAATTAAAACTTTTTTTATTCTGCCTTTTGAAAGTTCTCTTGCAGGAATGAAAACCCAAACCAGAAAGGGCACTGGCTAATGTGATGCCTGTAACGTGTGATACCTGTAAAGTGCAACTAGTTTTACATGAACAGTAAAAGTGTCATGGGATTCAGCTGATATTAAATTGTTTAGATCATCTAGAGCCTTTTTATTAGGAGAGCACAATGTTGAACTTATAAAGACATTTGGTTTACATGTTAAGATTAAAGGCTGTTTATTGGGAAAAGATTTTTTTTTTAAATGACAGTTATGACCTTTAATGTGTGATCTGTAAGCTATCATCTGATGAATTTGGGCCAGAGCCATTGAAGAGAAGCATTTGGAGGAGAAGCCAACCCAAAAGAAACAGAAAAAATAATTTTTAAAATTACATAGCTTTCAGTGGGTCCAAGAAACCTAGGCTTTGTCTTGGAACAACGGGTACAGCTGGGTGGTCTAAGGCTGAGCTGATGTTCAGCAGTCTTAGGTAATTATTATTTTTTTCTGTAATGTTGACAGTACTTCAAGTTTTGGGTGGTGGGTGAGTCTGTGGCATGCAATCAATTGTCATGCCTTACTGATTAATACAGATCAGAAATGTCGTTATTTTGTAGTTGAGATTTTTTTTTTTCTTCACATTTCATTTTCAAAGAAATGTGGTAAAGGGGAAATGTATATGGGAGCAATTTGTTTCTGGAGAGCTTACCAAATAATGTTATAAAAGAGGCTGTATTCTGCAGTATGCTGATGGTTACTACTAGCCATGGCTACCAGGAGTAACTTGTACATAATGCATTCCAGCAAATGTTATCAGAGTTCTGCAGAGTCTGGTAATGATAATACTTCAGTATTTTAACAAATAGATAATACTGTTATTTTGTTCTCTGTTGTAGTATATCAAATGTATTTCATTGCTTACACTGTAGTAGCAGATCGAAACCATCTGCTGTGTTGCCACTGGTCTGCCAATCTAACAGAAAATCTCAGTTCATTTTCCTTGAGGCCAGTATGCTTTAAAGCATGTGTACGAGGACTATAATCCAGCTGCTGAATGTTGATCCAAGTCCAGGCCTATGCTCCTGAGTCTTTTAAATGGAAACAATACTCTTTGCCAAGGATTGGAACAGAGATAAACTCGGATTGCTTTTCTCTCTTCCCTCTTCCCCCATCCCTTTTACAGCTCCATCCCCCATCACAGTCATAAGGAAAGACAGGACATCCAGGAACAGCGTGTCTCTGTCTTGGCAGGAACCCGAACATCCGAATGGGATCATCTTGGACTACGAGGTCAAATACTATGAAAAGGTGGGAAGAAAGATTGAAGAGGAGGTTTTCGTGCTGGTAATACTGTAATGAGATTATTGCATCTTGCCTATGTTAAGTATTCAGAGACACCTCCGTTCAGTCACTGTCTGCCTCAATCACACCAAGCGTTGAAACTGTTCAGTTTTTGGTAAGGAGAACATAATGAAAGTACAAAGTGAAATTGTTACATTGTGTTGTCTATCAACTTCATCCCCAAACACATCAGAACAAAGATAGAAAGTAATACAGACAATCAGTAATGCTTCTTAATTTTCTTGGTTACGGTTTATTTACTCAGTTCTGTTATGCTGTCAGTGTTCATATGTTTATTTGTCAACGACCATGTGCTGATTCTTCCCTGTGGTGCAAGCATCTTTCACAAAAAAATGATTTTGGAAGAGAGATGGACAGTCCTTTTAGTGATTGGTTTGCATTATGAAAGTTCCCTCTTTTCATGAATAACTAACTTCTTCATAAATGTTATATAAATAACTACAAACCAAAGAAAACCTTCTGTTAAATATATATATATGCTGCTTTATACTGATGCTTTCTTGTATATTTACATCATCTTGTATATTTACATCTTGTAAATATACATCATCTTGTATATGTACATCATCTATAGCTCTGCATTCAGGAAAACATTTTTGTAACTGAATGGGTTCTTTTTAATCGGCCTTACTGGTAGAAATGTTGTGAAGATTGTGAAGAGCAATATTAGCCATTTTTAGATTTGTCAGATCAATGTTTTGATAGAATACATTTCTACTGAAGTTGACAAACTTTGGAAAAAAAAGTCAGAAATAATGATTTAATTTAGTATTTACTAATGCTGTTCATATCTAGAAATCAGGATTATATTTCACACATAACAGGGAAGACATGGCACCAATATTTTGGTGGTCTTTTGTTTTTGTTTCTGTTTTTTTTTTTTTTTTTCTTAAATTTTCTAGTCCACTTAGAAATTGCTGTATGGGTATTCCGTTAATCTTTAGAAAGTTTTCTTATGGAGTTTACCAGTGGGACAATGGGGCATTGAAAGTCCATGCCTGATGTCCAACAGAAGAATGGTGATATGAAGGCAGTATTCTGAAAAAAATTCTCCCAGATTCATGTTGTCTGATTTTGGGTGGGTTTTTTTTTTTTTTGGTGAGCGCTTGAACCTTCAAAGACTTTGTTAAAATCTGAACATGCATAGTACCACTGATAAAAGGGGAAAAGAAGAGCTTCCTAAAATTTTGGCTTAGTCTCACCTTATAGGGCAGTAGCCTATAGACTTTCACTTTAGGTTTGGTTTTTTTTTCTGTTATTTCAATGGGGACAGCATCAGTTCAGGTCCTGGGCTTGAGAAGTAAAAAAGAACCAGCTCACACATCAGATTGTCTTTATTTGTACATCCTCAGCACTGAAGAGATGCAGGAATTATTGAAGATCTCTTGTTTCCATTTTTTTAAAAGTAAAGAAAATAGATAATGCCTTTTAGTAAGGCTTGGAAGATCTATTTACCTCACAAAGAGCCTACACTTGGAACTTCCTAGAACTTCAGCCTGTTTTGCACAGGCCAAATTATTTATCTGCATGGTTAATTTGTCCTTTCAGACCTACCTGTTTGCTCTTGCTGCTGTTGGCTATACCTTTGTTTTCCAAGAGCTGCATCAGCCCTGGCTCAACCTCACCTCCAGTCTCCCCAGGTGGAAGTCCTTGCCTGGGTGACTCTGTGCAAGCACCAAGGAATGCAGGATGTAGCACACAGTGTGTTGTATATTGTGCCATTAGGGTGATGTGTCTGGTTTTAGTTGCTCCAAATTAAGAAAACTTTTGCCTTTGTGTGCATTTAGTTCATTTTCATCGAATGACTGAGAAGTTTTATTCACCTATTTGGGTTTGTTGGTTTGGTTTTGTTGGTGGTTTGGGTTTGAGTTTTTTGGTTTGTTTGTTTGGCAATTTGATCCTTGTTCTGCACTGAAGTTGTCTTGCTTTATTAAAGAAAATTGTCACCTTGCAGTACTATTGTATGCACAAACTGACCATGCAGCTGCTAGTCCCATTGAGTATATCCAGTCATTAGGTGCAACTGGTTGTCATAAGACAGCTTCCTAAGACAACCAGTCTTATAAGGCTGATCTTGCACATGTGTGTCTTCCCTTTGAAGTCTGTGATGAAGAGTTCGTAAGCAGCAGACTGCTTTCTTAAACCAAAGAGTCAACTGCTCGACAATAGGAGCCAGACCATTTAGAGCAAAGGGTTCTAAAAAGCAACCTTCTGACACCAGTGCTTTTAATGTGTGCTGTGCAGCCCCTGGAGAGTCAGAAGCCTATTCCTCAGAGCTTATGAAAGGTAACTAAGAGAAACAAGTGTGTTGGCAGGAAGCTTTAAACCATTGCCCCTTTTAGGTTTGGAATTGAAAAAGGTTGAAAACTGCTACTCTGTACATGTTAAACTTACCAGAGGTCAGAGCAGCCTATACTGGACTGTTACTCGTAATTTCTTCTCCAAATATGTTTGGAAGAGGCTACTTTTCAGTCTGAAATCTCTAAGCAGCCCTTCTCCTCTCTTCTTTTGAAAAGAAAGTTTCTTTATAAACTGGTCGAGTTTGCTTGATTTTCTGCTCCAGAAATCACCATGGTTGTGCTCATCAAAAAGCCCACTGCTGTTAAGTGACAACTTCTAGGAAATAAAACCTTCACAGTTAGCAATCTGGGTATTTCTCCTGACAAGTCATACCTGATTGCTGCTAGATGATTTATGTTGAGCCATTCTTTTCCCTTCTCCTTGTTTTTACTTGCAGTACCTTTTGTAATCTCTTAGAAATTAATAAATACAGTGTTACGAGAGTAATACTAGTCAGCCCAATTCAGATATACACCTTGCCTATGTAAATGTTTTTTTTTACTCTAAGTTGTTCTTAAATTTCAAAGAATATATTATATTTGTGGTCAACTGCATGTTACTGATATTCAGGAGGTTAGAATGGAGTTGGAATAAAAATTGAATGTCCTGTATCCTAATTATAAGTCCATGTAGTTTTTCTAATGCATAATTGGCATAAAGTCTGCGGAAACTATTTATTTTCTGCAAAGGTAATTAACCTGTTAATTTCTTTTTAACCAGTGATGTTACTTGTTTAACCAATAGAGAAGACCTTTATATGATGTTTCTAGAGAAAGTAGGAGCTACAGTTTTGGGAGACTGTTTTAACTTTTTAGAATGAATCTATGTTGTTTTAATGCATAACATTATGAACTGAGAGTGACAGTTTTTCAGACTCATTGTTTGGACTATAATTGTATTTTCTGTAAAAGATCTACACGGTTGGTCCTGACACCCCAGTTACTATTTGTTCAAAACATTTAAAAGAAATAAAACCCTCTTTCAGAGGATTACTGTTTTGAACTTCAAGGCATTCATTTTATGGTAGGGCATAACATTTTATGTGAAGTTAATACTACCAAATGACACCCTAGCTTAGTCCAGCCAGTTATCCTCGATTTTATCTGTGTCAGCCATCAAAATGCACATGTAACAGAAGGCAGGATCTTTTTCCTTACACGAGCAGATACTTGTCCTTCCTCACATAATTATGTTCTCTGGATGGAATATCTTGTCATGCAAAAAAAAGCTGTCTCCTAAATATCACACATAAAATATTAATTGCTTCATTTAAATATATGGCTTACAATTAATGATAGCTAAATCCCACACACATTACTAAGATGAAGTCTGCTGCAAACAATAAGTGAAATTTAATTGCAGTCTCTCATCACTAAAATAGATTTGCCTTTACCATCATTGAAATCTTGTACTTAGTAGACTGGTTAAAGTGAACAAATAATAATTGGTATCTAGTTTGTGCTCTTTCTGAGGCTGAAAAAGTAAATTACATGCAAATGCCATTAATTGCTTTTAAACTCTTACTATTATCACTTTGAGGGTAGGTGCACCACAAATACTCCACAAGGTTTGTAGGAACTCTTCTATAGAGAAGCAGTTCATGCCTGGCAATAAGGGGAAGCAGCACTGGGACTGCAGATCCAAACTCCCGAAGATGTTTAGTCTGGTTTTGGCCTCTCAAGTGTACATGCAGCTGATGGCAAAAATATTCTTCCTCATATGTGAACACTGTGCTTATCTGAAAAAGGACATACTGTTCACTCTCAATAGTGCTGCCACTATAAATTTTAAGTGTATCCAAAATATGTCTTTTCTAAAACATAGTTTAAAGTTATAAAATCTCATCTGCAAATAAGACATTAACAGTAGTGGGATTTGCTTCCCACTAAAGATTGTGTCTGGTAAACTATGCAGAAATATTCAGGAAGACTACGCTTTGTGCATCCAAGTTCAAATTTATCATCAGAGTGTTTGATTAAAGTTCTGCTTGGCAAAGACTGACTCTCCTTTTTGTATATTCCTTCTATATGTGGCAGCTATAGTACTGTATCTCTGTGAAGTTTTATTTCATCCCCAAGAAAGATAAACTTGGGCTTTTATGTGGTGTTTCACTGATTTGCTTACTAGTAACATAAAAAATGACTTACAAAATATGTGTGCAAAAAGCTTACCATAAACTAAGATATCGTGACATCCTCCATACCATTGTTTTAAACGTTTATTTTCCAAGCTCATTGTGGATTATTAACAGACAGGGCCATGACTGTATTTTCCCTTGCACGTATGTATCTGCACAAGAAGGAAATGTTTGCATTTCATAAAAGCAGCCTGAAGTGAGATCAAAATGAATTTCCAGTCGTAGCATACACAAAAGATTTTGTTTTAAAGACAAGATTATTATGTCTTTGAAATTAAAATAGTTGCCTACATTCAACTGAATGATGAGATAAGGAAAGCCTGCAAATTATAATACTAGGCCTTTGTTAGTTCCAAAATAAATTTTACACAAACCTGTTAACTCCTTAGAATGTCTTTCTGAAATTTTTCTTCCCTGAATTTATAATGGAAAACTCTTTCAGAGAAGTATCGAGAAAGTGTGAAGAGATCCAAGCTGGTTTCTTTTTTACTTTTAGCATGCAAAGAAAATGTGCCATGTTAAACGTTTTCATAGTATTCTTTGAAGGCTAGGTTCAGCTCAACCTAGCTGAGGTTTTGATTATGGATGGTAACTTTTAGGTACAGGTTTAGCTGCTTTTGCCTTTTCTGTTTGTTTGATTTGTTTCTCTTTCTGTGTGATTACTTGTGCGTAATGTTGGATATCACATGGAGATTGTGGCAATTTCCCTAAAGATGGTGTGTATGTTTCTGTTTCTCTCTGTATCAAAGACTGCTAAAGAACAGGCTGGTTGGGCTGCTGTAGCACCAAAGTTAAGAGTTTCTGATGTCCACCTACTAACTTAGAATAAATCTTTCTTACTCTAGACAGCACTGCAGAGCAAGCACACTAAAGCAACTCTAGTCGCTTGAACTTTTCACATGAAGGTGATATAGCTTTGTCAATGAGCGTGTTGAATATTTTCCAACCTTTGTACTTATGCATCGGCACTCCAGTGTTGTCAAAGTTAAAATGTCAGTACCTTTCAAACTAACACAATGCCATAAAACATAGTGAGAATTAGATGAGATTGTTTGCATCCAACATACATCAACTTAACTCAGTTTCTGCTTTCTACCAGACGAAACTCAATTGTTTTTCAGAGTGTTCAAAGTAAAAGGGCAGCATATGAAAACTCTACCACCTCCAGAATAAAAAAAAAGTCATGATTGGGAACCTAAACAACTGAGATTCTCACAGTTCCCCACATGTGTGGCTGCTGTCCAAGATTTTTTTCTGAGGCAATTCCAGCTGCCATTTTTAGGAAGCAAAAAGTGCTTTTTTTGGTACAGGATGGCTTTAGTAAAATAAGCAATACCTCAGGCTCCAAATGCATTCTTAAATTTTTAGACTACATGCTTGCAGTTGGACTGAGACATAAATTTTTTTCAGAATTAGCTTTTTACACAGTGTGAAGTGTATCCAAACTTACTAAATTACAATATGGTCCATTTCTTACTTTCATATAGAAGTTATGTCAGAAATACATGGTTGTGACCATCCCATCTGTACTGGATTCACACCTTGCTCTTCAGCAAAAAGCAGTAAGGAGCAAACACTTCTTTTCTGGCTACTAAAGCCCAAGACTCATTCAGGAGCAAGTTCAGTAGGATTTGATGAACACATTCATCTCACGTTTTTTTATAAAATGATAGAAAAACTGTTCTACTTGCCTGTTCACAGAGCTGAGGTGAGGAGCCTGAGGGGAGTTTCTCTTATGACTCTTAGGAAGGTAAACACTGTCTTGTAAAATGTGAGGCAGTAAAAACTGCATCCTGCAATAGCTCTGCAGAACCCTAAAATGTCAAAGTTGGCTTGTTACAACTTCCAGTCCAGCACACTAGTCAAATCTGGTTTATTTTTAAAAAAAACTTTTAATCCTCATTTTCTTATTGTATTACAGACTGCAGACAAAGTGATGCAAAGCCTTTTAAGTACCATACGCTTAGGGTGTTTGGTATTTGATTTACAGCACAAGGCCTTAGAAGCTGTAATGATTGAGATTTCTTGCTAATGAAAGGATTTTTAGCCGTTGAAAAATGAATGGACATACAAGCATTTGTCAAGCTATAAATAATCAAAAAATATACTGGTGCTCTCCTGGTGATTTGTAATAATTTTGTACCAACCAACTCTTGTTTCTCTTTTTCTAGGTTGTGGTTTTAATCTGACAATTTCTTTTCCCAAAAGCAGGAACAAGAGACAAGCTATACTATTCTGAGAGCCAAAGGCACCAATGTTACCATCAGTGGCCTCAAACCTGATACAACCTACGTCTTCCAAATTCGAGCCCGAACTGCAGCTGGATATGGGACAAACAGCCGCAAGTTTGAGTTTGAAACAAGTCCAGATTGTATGTATTTGTTCAAGTGGTTTATACTAACATCCTGCCTAGTTTCTGACTGATTTGAATGGCTGCTTTCACTCCTTTTCTAGCTTAGTAAATGGGACTCATAACTGTTTATGATGCGTCTTTCTAAGTAGCATTACTACATGACTTTTTATTGTTAAACTTGAAACATGCTGTTAAGAATATGCCATGACTGTCATGGGTGGTATTTTCTTCCATTCCCTAACTCTAGGGAATAACCTAACCTAACCTCCTGCCAAAATTGATACCTTACTAGACCACAGCTCCTGCCAGGGGAGGAAGTTTGACAGAGAACCAGATTCACAACTTCGCACTGTTCCAAGTTGGTGTCCTGAACTCTATAAAACCCTTCTCCTAGACAATCCATATTACATTGGTCCATTACTCCTGGTGGGCCGGTGTGTAATTTTCCACACTACTGCAGAGCATTGCTGACATCCCTTGCGTAGCCTTGAGATGAAATTAATATGCACAGTCTGGGAAGGATGGTCATTCAGTTGAGTCAGGGAGTTGGATTGTTTGGGTCCCTTCTCCTCTCTATCCTTAGATTTCTGGGTGGCCTTCAGGAAGTTAATTACCGGTGCAGCATTCTGTTTTCTCTAATACTTAGATAATAACATTTTTTAACTGATGACCTTATAGATATTCTTTACCAGTTCTGTTACTATATCAGAACGACTCCTAATAGAGCTCATTGTCTTAAATGTTACTTTTCTCATCACGTGGTACTATCTAGTAAATCAAACTTTTTGCTAGAAGCTGGTGGCTCAATGCATCAAAAACTCAGCCTTTGCTTAAGTACCCAGTTACTGATGTAGACTGATGATGCATAATCACAGACTGATTTTTTTTGAAGGCTGGGCTTTCACAGAAGCTTCATGTCTGCTGTTCACAGTTAGAACACTGAGGACTGTAATTCTGATGCCTCTCATAGGGTTTATTCATGTAGTCATGATAAGGCTCGAGAACCCATGGTGTAAGAAGTGCCCTGCTAAAAGCAACAATTTTTTAACCAAGAGTAGCATCAAGGTGAATGGTCATCCGTGTAGTTTTGAGATATGTTCATCCCGACTTCTTCCTCCCATACCTCAGCTCTTATTCTGAAAAGGAAATAAGATTCTTTTTTTAAAAAAAATAGTACAAATTGCTGTTACAGTGACATGCAGCTTTGGCATACTGGATGAAACTGGAATTCAAGACAGGATAAATGAGTACAGCAAGAAGAAAAAATCAGTTTTGGTGATAACAAATTTCATAGTTTTGAGGTTAATGAATATTCTCTGCAAAGTAATATTTTAAAAAAGTGGCTGTCTGGAAATGTGGAAGATGACAGAAGACAGTGGTGCACATCTTAATAACAAGCATACAAGTTACACAGACAAACAAGTGACATAATTTTGTTCCTATTGCAAAGTTACCAGAACTACGTGAGTGCGGTTGTAGTTCTGTAATAGGCAGAGACATCTTCCCAAGGGGAACAGTGTGTTTCCAAGCAATCATGTACACAGACTGTCTAATTTGTGGGGACCAGGAGTGCTAGTTTCAGGTCATTTTGGACAGCTAACTTGAAGCATAGTGCTGACTGCTATGGTCAGTGAAGTTAACAGATGTCTGCTGAAGATTGTTCAGAACGCCTAAGATCTAAAGATGTCCTGTCATTGTATAGTGGCCTAGTAAGAATCAGCAGGAGCAGAAACAACTTTGATAAGTATTCAAAGATGGCTGGGGTCTTTTGTTTTCTTCTCTTGTATTTATTTGTATGATGAAAAATTACTTAGTAAAAATTACTTAGGAGGAGACCAAATGCTATATCGTGATGACTTAATCTGTCCGTTCCCTATACAAGTGTCAATTGTGATGCAATCAATGTTATCTGTGTGTGAGGGTTTATTTATATATTTTTGTGTTAACTTTCCAGCATTCTCCATTTCCAGTGAGAATAGCCAGGTTGTAATGATTGCCATTTCAGCGGCAGTAGCCATAATTCTCCTCACAGTTGTGGTGTACGTCTTGATTGGGAGGTTAGTTTATCGTCTGGTTTGCACACTTACTCCCACTTCCATTTCCCTGGGGGGCCGTGATGAGCATGGCAAATTGGGTGTTGTCAGGCAGTAGCATGGCTGCTTTGCTCCTTCTCCTTTGTCTGCTGCCCAGGAGCTCCGAATATCGCTTCATGCTTGGTAATGAGCCTGCTAACATTAACAGCCCCAATTGTGCAGCAGTTGTTAAAAAATGCAATAAACACATTCTTAGGCAATTGTAAAATTAAACTGTAGGGGTCAAAAATCAACAAATCCTCTCATTAGCCAATTTCCTCAAATTCCCTGAGAACATAACATGCCTCTATAGGGCACAGAGAATGTAAATATCATTAAACTTTCAAACAGGCATTTAATTGTGGAGGGAAAACATTTTATTCTGTTTCCACCTGCTGTTAACATATAAAATTCTCTATATTAATTTTTCTTTCTCTGTTGCTTGCAGATTCTGTGGATACAAGAAGTCTAAACACAGCACTGATGAGAAAAGACTACATTTTGGGAATGGCCATTGTAAGTTACTGAAGCCTTTTAATGCTTCCAGGTCTGTTAAATTCATTCCCTAGATAACTGGTATTTTTCAATTTAGAAAAAAAAAAGTCATACCTCACTTAAATCAAGGTGAAATTGGGAAGAGAATTCTCTCTTCTCCTCTGGGTAAGGAGATTTTCCCCAAACAATTATTCTTTGTTTCAAATTCTTTCATCTGTTTTCAGGTTAGTAATGGGCACAACATTGCTGTGTTCAATGTGTGTGGTTAGCAATATGATATTGATTCTGCTGTGCATTACTGAAATGCAGAGTGTAACTTCAAGTTCCTCATTATCAGCTGTATAAAATCTAAGAAATTACTTTCTCTTTTCCCTAAGCAAAATATAAAATCAATGAAACCTGTTTTAATGACCACTGAAGGGACTATGAAAATTGCTTGCTTGACAAAGCTGACCCACTAATAATTTAGTTTGGAATTATTCTAAGTATAGACTGAAAAGTTATTTGGAGTAATTTCTTAATTTAAGAATAACTACTAAGCAGGTGTCTCCAATTAATGGGATTTTTTAGTCCAGCTCTGTTTACAAACATGTTTTGTTCAAGTCGTGATTTTCCACTTGTGAGAATGAATGTGTCTGTGCTTTCTTTGAGTCTCATTCAGGACTAAGAAGACAGCCTTTCTATTGACTCACACTGCATTTTGGATATTTTTTATCCTTACAGGGCAAAGATAATAGCCTTCATAAGCACCAAGACTGGAAAAGTCTTTTTTTTTTCACTCCCAGAATTCTTGATGTCTGCTGAGCATGTTTTTTAATAAGAAGCAGTAGTATGTCTTTGAAACTGTTTCACCTCCAGATAAATGTCCTGCTACACCATGTAAAACATGTTGAACTATATATTCCTATTGCTTAGCATGTTGTAAGTTTAGTTTATGTGGTTTTTTTGCACACAACAGTGGTGCTGTGCCATCTACAAGAAAAGAGCTGTTGGTACCATAATCAGATGCCTCTTCACCAAATATAATTGAATTAACATTTTAATGAGAGATTTACGTGCAGTAGTTGGGAATTATAAATGCTTCCTAACCCCCATGACAATGAACTAACTGTTCATATTATTTTTATTTTAAGTTTGGAGCCTCTCCTTATCTCCAAAGAGCCATGAGCATGCACACCCACAGCACGTGTGCTCCTTCTCCTGCATTGTCAAGGGATACACAGGCTGTGACAATGGGCTTGCTTCGTGCAGCCCAACAATCACTAACCAACTAGTCTCAAAAAAAAATCTGTATGGTTACATGTGGCCCATAGAATTAATGCTTCATCATCCAAATTTAATGAGGTTATAAAATAAAAGCAGCCAGTAAAAAAAGTGTCATGGACAAATAACAGGTCAGAATTTGCTCTCCCGACTCCCACACAATGGAAAGTTGCAATCACTATTCTTAAACATGTCAGTACTGTTAAATTCCTGTGGATTAAATTGCTTTTAATTTGGCTTTAGATATTTATGTACTGTTTTCTGAGTAGTGCCATGCTGATTCACTGTGTAGTAAAAACAGAGCCAATCATGGACCTGGTATTTGTGTTAGAAATTCTTGAAAATCATTTCTTGATTTTGCAGATATTTATGTGTGAGGATTTGTATCTATACACATGCATAGCTGTTGAAACTTTACTAAATTTCAGTCTTTCTCAAAGAGTGAGAAGATTGGTTCTATGAACTAAAAAAGGATAAAGTAACTTCCATGGCTGTCATAAACTTTCAGCATCTTAAATACAGCAGATGGTTTATTTCAGTCAGTTTATTCTGAATTACTTTTAAAAATGCTCCAGCCATGAACTATTCCCTACAGCCTTATTACAAATCCTATAATATGACTTCAAAGAGGCAAAAATGTTTCACCTCCTTAGATCCTCTCCCTTTACCTTCTTTGGCTAGGGCCTTTTATTTTTTTGCTACCTTTAGGGCAATTTGTGCTGTTAAAATGAAAATGTAAGTTATTATGTTTGCACAGAATGAGCTGTAAAGTAGTACAGCTTAACACATGTGCATGTGTTTATTATCTGTTTTTCATGACAGAACCCAGTTACTATATAGGCTGCCCTTAATTATTGGTGTGAAGGGATTATTCTCCTTGCAGTCAGAATCACCTGATCTTGGGAACCTCTGGGGTCAGCATTAAAAATCTGCAGCCAAATACACCCCTACAGTGCAGAAGCTTTTAATTGTTATTTTTATTGGGGGTATGAGGGAGCCTGTAATGTACATTCAGCATGGACGGAAAGGAGCATTTACAAGATTTTTAACCAAGAGCAATATACAGCCAATTACTTTTTGTTTTACTTGCAAATAATTCTGTAATCATCAGGCGCTTGAAGGAAGCGTAGTCGGCATTTAACGCAGCACACACGCAGCTCTTGTGTTAAGAGCATGGCTCTTAGTTTGCGTTGTTTTCCAGGCAATTAACTGGGGAAGTCAGTTTTATCAGTTCTTTGTCAATTCTGAGGCAAATAAATCTAAAAAACAAAAAAAAATAATTATTTTTTGCATACACTTGGGATTGCTTAACAAAACAATGGTGTGGTCTAAATAATGATCCAAAGGTGTTTTTTTTCCTATCTGAGTGATCCCAGCCAAAAAAGATTTAACTATTCTAGCAGTCGACAAATGGATGCAGTATAGCGATGCCAAGCTGGAAAGGATATTTCTGAGGGGGTTAAGGCAATGTTTCTAAAAGGAGTTAGTATCTTTTACAAGACCAGCTAGTAATTATGAAAAGCTGAAACAGAGGTCCAGGAATGCAGGTTTTCTGTCAGATGTAGAAAGCTTCAAAGTGACTGGATGTAGTGGTTACTTCACTTTTTGTTAACAAAATACTTTCGTGTTGTAAAATGAATACAGAAGCAGGTACACAAGGTACCACCTACAAGCACAAGCAGGGCCTTCTGCCAGGGTGGGGGAAGGAGGCTATGCTTTGCCTTCAGCATCTTTGCTGGAGAGATCAGCTGGGAGTTGTATGTTCCTCCCATCCTCAGTCCTGCTACAGGAAGAGATGTGGAAACCTTGCAACTGCCCTTAAAATCATTTAGTCATTTGAACTAGTTCTTGCTCTGGCAAAAAGAACAGTCCCTGTCCAGGACGCTGTAGAGGGGGACCAAGTAATAACATAGATGTTAGGGTAACTGAGCATACTTTAATAAGAAGAATGACTGGCTGCCAGCCTTCTATGTACTGGTAGAGGGATTGAGGCAGAGATGCATTTGTGCATATATAATTTTCTTTTCTTATGCATCTTGTTGAAGGACTCAGAAAGAAAAAGTCTGAGTTAATGTGCTCTTCTTAATATATTCCTAAGAATTTTTCAGGTTAACTCTAAATGTAAAAATGTGTGATACATTTTGTTCCTTGCCTTTTTGTTGTTGCCTTGAAAGGGACAATAAAAGGCAGTATCTAAATGTAGCAAGCTGAAAAGGGTGGATAGTATTTTTATATTTCAAAATCAGTTAAATATGGTAAGTGCAGATATATTTAAAATCAGACTTCTGTGCAATAACTACGTCTATGGTTTCACTCCGTATTAAGATTCCTGAAGACTCACGAAAAGCAGTTTGATTTGAAGAAACAGCATACCTTTTTCTTCTGTTGATTTGATTTCAATTGTCTCATGAGCTTTCTTTAGAAGGATTAAGTCTAAGTAACATTTTTCTCTCTGAATTTGTTTTTACACAGTAAAACTCCCAGGCCTGAGAACTTACGTGGATCCACATACGTACGAGGATCCCAATCAAGCTGTGCATGAATTTGCCAAGGAACTAGATGCTTCTAATATATCCATTGATAAAGTAGTTGGAGCAGGTAATGAACATCAGATTAGCTTTTTGCTGTATATATAGTTTTACATCTTTGGGTTTATACTTGTGACTGGAAAGAAAACATTCTAACGTCTTTAAATTAGTAGCTCATATTTACAGCTGACTTTGCATATGAAAAATTCAGGGCAAAAAGTTCTATTTTTTTCACCAAAGAAAGCAGATAACAAGACAGTTTTTCAAATGACACTCATCAGTCCACACTTTGACGCAGCACTCTTGGGAGTGACAAGAGTTCAACCTCACTTCTGTTTTCTCTTCAAAATCTGTCAGAACAGAAAATGGTATCAACTGTGAAGATGTTTTCTTTTTTTCCCTTAAAATGACTGTTGACTATTATGCCTTGAGTGAAACTGCAAACTCATTTCAAACCAGTCACCATGCATCCATCAGACTGCAATGACCTTTGGTCATTGGATTGATTTTGGTCACTGCTTTGGATTTGAATTATTGATTTAGGAGAAGAGGCTTGTCTGCCTGATAACTGATTATCTGAGCCATACAGACACCATAGATTGTTTGGTTTATAAAAAACAAACTGTCAAAATGAGCAGATTTTGTAGCAGAGGAGCCAGGTTACAGAAATTCTCATCACACCGAGTTGTCCATGTTGCACTGCAGCATGTAGTTCCTGATGGGATGTGTGCTTGCTCCTTGAAGTGTAGTGGCAGATTGTCTCATTAAGTCAGAAGATCATGAAGTGTTAGCTTTCCTGCTAAATTTAAGCACTTGTGAGAAGCACTATTGATTTTTAATCCATTGAAAATTACTAGTTCTTTTATTATTGATTCTTTGCTTCTCTCTAAATTTACTATTTGAATTAAAATCATGAGATATGAGAGAGACAGACTGCTAGTGCACAGCAAAGGATTTTCTTTTGGAAAATTTGTATAACCAAGCTCTGTATGCAGTGCATCTCCTGAAACACCCAGCAGAAAGAAATAGTATTCATCCGCTTTTACTGCAGCTACTCAACTGCATCTATGAAATCAGGTTATTTTCTGCAAAGTAAATTTTTTGTTCCTTGCTGGTTTTAATTTTGTCCCACAAGAGTGCACTGTTCTCCATCATCTTCAATAAAGGCAGCAAAGCTCTGCTTATTGTACATGATAGAAAATTAGTATGGGGATAAGGAAGGGAATTACTGAAAAGATAAATTCAAAAGCAGTATGTTGCCTTGTAAGACTTTCAGGAGCCTTCGTTCACAAATGTAAACTTTTTAAACTTGGGCTGTATGCAGTATATTAATCTAGAAAACAAATTAATAAGAATCAGTGATACATCATATTTTATAACTCATTGTGCTGACCTATTTTTAATCAGAATGCACATGAGAATGAGAGGTAAACCAAAATTTGCCAAATATGGCCTCTGAACATGGAGGAAGAGTTTTCTGAGTGGCTCCAAAAAAAGGGATATGTCCTGAAAGAGTCAGGTGATTTAAAAATAAGTCACTTTGCTCCACTCCAGTGAAAGTGACAGTAGGTTCCTGCACATCATCTACCTTGAAGCTTGGACTCAAGATATAATAAAGTCATTTTCTGGAGATGATGACAGAGATTCATATAGCCTAAACTACATACAGCATTACATTTAGCATTTCCTATTACCAATTGCCAGAGATGCAAACAGGAAAAACCAAGCCGGGAAGAACATGAAAAATCAGGCTATGGAGTGCTGGGAGCTTCTAATATGCATTTGTAACATCACTTTAGACTACTGTTATGTTCGGTACATAGTAGCTTTTGCATTCAGAGTGCCTCCAAGGCTCCGTCTGCAGGAATACTTCCTTCCTCTGAGTCAATGACTTATTTGAGTTGAATGACTTAGTCTTTTCCTGCCTTTCTCCTTGACAAATGCACGTGTGAATGAAATTATAAAAAGACAGTGATTTGAGAGGAAGGGATTCGTTTGACTGCATTGAAGTCTGACGTAAGTAATGAGACCTTCAAGTCAGGCAAGTAATCTTGATATTCCGAGGTACTTTTTCCAAGCAGTATTTCACAACTTCAGCCAGAAGTCTCTGAGAATAGAAGGCAGCTTACATAGCTTTGAAAATATACCCAAATACAATAAGGAAATACTCTTGTCCAAAAGAACCTCAAGAAAAACACAAGGGATTTTAGTGGGAGGCTAAGCAGAAGAAAATTGAGGTCAGGACACTCTTTTTCAGAATTTTCTTTACGGTAGTTCTTTCTTTTAAAACAGCTCACTTGTTTTTATGGATCCAGTTCAGCAAACCACTTAAGAAGTTTAAATCCAATTGGAAAGCAAGAGAATACTACGGAAAGTACTTTCTTGATCTGGGATAGATTTAAGTATGTGCTTTGCTGAACATGAAAGCAGGCTTTTACTTTTCTTTTGAAACTTTAAACATTTTTGTAGCATAGCATCTTGTTGATAAAAGTATTTCTAAAGTTTAGGGGCTACCTGTCCATGTGACTTCATAAGCCTTCACTTATTGTGAAGGTTTGCATTGTGACAGTGAGGGCTTGTAGAATGTTGAAATCTATGAGGTTTATGAAACATTCAGGCTAGGTGCCTCCCCAACTCCAAGTGAGTTCTGTGTACAACAGTACCGTCATGATTTAAAACACGACTTAGCAAAGGGAGTAGCTAGTTTCACAGAGTCATCTTTTACTTGTCCCCTGGGTCTAAATGCACAGCCAATGCCATTCACTGATGTACCAAGTAGCCTATTTAAAAAGAAATTTAGATCTCCTGAAGAGAGGTCTTTATATCATGAACAGCCCTGCTAATAATATCTATTTGCTTTCCACAGTTTGCAGGGCAGGTTATAAAATGTTTATATGGTGTAGCATAATTAAAAATAAATACTTCAGAAAGACTTTACATGAACAGCCATCAACCTCATCTCTTAAAATCAGTGCCAACTCAAAACACAAGTCCCTGTTCCTCCTAAACAATATCTGATGAGATCCAGTCCCTTTCTTACTGGGACATAGAACAATGATTTGCATGCAAAGGATACAGTGTAACTGCATGTTCCCATGGTTGTTGACCAAACAGACTTGTGTAGCACCCATACTATGCTGTGTGGGAGGGAAGCAAAGGTCAATGTAGTTGGGCTGCCCAGTGAGCTTTCTCCAGTGAAATCGTTTTCCAAAAAGTAAAGCAATTTTATATTCATGGACAACAGTAAGCTCCATTGCTGTGAAGGGTCTAGCTTTTAGTCTCTTGCAGCATCCACTGGCCCTAAGGTACTTGTGGAATCCAATTAATCACACAACTTCTAAATTGTGCAGCCATGGCTAAATGGAACTGTGTTGATGGACATTAGCCATAACCTTTTCCTTCCCAAAAGTCAAACAACTATCAGATACATGATTCCAGTCAGAAATGAAGGATTGATTGCTTGCACTGCTTGCTGAAATCACAGCTATACTCTCCACTGTCAGTAACTCAACAATAAGAGGCTAGCTTGTTATAACTTTTTGACCATTAAAACGTAGAGAAAAGGGAATTTGAAGCTGGACATTACAAGGTTTATTTCAAGCACTTTTTTCCCTTCCTTCTGTTTTCAAGATGTGTTTTGGTCTTCCTCTTTCTGGTGCTCTGATAGCATTGAGCTGAGGTTACTAATTGAACTGAAGCAGTGTTTGCTCTTTGTGAAGTATACTAGTCATTTTGGCTTGCAGGGGTTGAATATTTTTAATTAAGTGGTCTGAACAGAACCCAACACCCATTAGTTACTAGCAAAAGGTTTTCTTAGCTGCTGCTTGTCTTGGCAGCCTGGAATACAAATAATGTTAGAAACAACAGACAAAATCTAAGTGCTGTTTTAGTAGCACATATGTATGTAAAGATATCCCCCGTTTTGGTTTGGTTTGGTGTTTGTTTTTTTTTTTTTTTTGGTTATCACATTGATATCACAGTACCATGCCTAGCAGATGAAGCAACTTCGCAGCTGGTGGTAAAATATGATAACATTCAGTTCTGTGTTGTTGACTCAAATATAGCCTGGGTTAGCATCAGAGAAAGGTCATTTCCCTATTCATTCTAGCAGAGAAACCTTAGAAAATAAAGCTGAAAGGTGACCTCGAGGTCATTAAGTCCACACCCTTGCCCAAAACAAAACTTGTTAGGTACTGTTCTTGACAGATGCTTATTCTTTACCATCTCCAAGATAAAAGAGTTTATAGCCTCCCTATAAAATCTTTTGTACTGTCCAAGTGTCATCCTTACCGTTACTTTTTTTTTCATGACCTAACTCACCTTTATCATAAATTGCAATTATTCTTTGTATAGAAAGAATATAGCCTCTTTTGTATAGAAAAAAAAGAGTTGGTACCCATCTTATTTATAATCATAATTTTGATAAGCCAAAACTATTGTCTAGTCTCTATCTTCTCATTCATGTGTATAAATAACACCAATTCCTTGAGGTTTGACCATGAACACAGGGCCCTGACTTTTAAGCTTTTGATCATTGCTATTACTCCCTTTATCATTCGGAACTGCAGTGCCACAAATGGGACATGGACTCTAATGCCAGCCGTACTGGTGGAAAGTTGATGAAAGAATAATTTCAGTTTGTAGATAAATGGGCTGAATTTAACATCTCAAATATATCCCATGTGGTATCACATCTGAAGTGAAGGGCAGTCAATCCATCACACTTTTTTAAGCAGTAAATCTATGAAAGGCAATATGATTTAAATTTGCCTATTAAAAATATCTTATTTCTGTGGGTTTTGGTAATTTTTAGTTTTCAAAGGTATTGCTTAATGTAAAGCATTTGAAAGCAGATGAAAGAATCATTGTGAGCAAATGAGCTCCAAGAGCCTTTGCTCTTTAGAGGCATAGTAATGCTTTTGTATTTGGGATTATTAGACCTTAAGTTGGGAAAGCTCTCATGTAACCAATGTAATCATTCTTTCCATGATATTTCACTCGCAAATAAAAACAATGCTCAGTTTTACTGAAAATTATACCAGCTACCTTTAGATGTATAAGTCTCGTTTATTTATATATCAAACTTTGTATACAAGACCAGCTGACAAATTATTGCGTATTTTGACAAAAGAACCTGAATTGCCATGTACTGTTGGAAAGGGAATTTTGAAGCACTCCAGCAATACCCTGTTGTTTCTTAAAAGAAAAAGAAAAAAAAACCCAAACAAACAAACCAACCAACCACAAAACACACACACACAAATCAAAAAAAAGCCAACACAAAAAAAAACTTTATTTTCTTCTCTGTTCAGTAAAGTGTTTTCCTTGTCTTTAAATGTAAATAATCATGTAGGGCAGTTCTTGCTGTCATATTTCTTTTATATTTTATCTGTTCTCTGGTTTTATTGTAATTTTCATTATTTCAATTATTTTGTCCTTAAAACAAGGAAACAAAATTTGCAACAGTAATTTTACCTTGGATGTTATATGTGCAGTTTATTATATTGGAAATCTAAGACGGGGAGTTTGATAATTTGGAATTAAAATTAGTTGCTGCTCAAACGTTTTTTAAGATACAAAACTTCGTTATATGCTTTATGTAATCATTAGTTAAATACAGAAAATGTCAAGAGATTTTTTCGTCCAGCAATTTGTCAACATGTTTAATACTTGCTCATTTGGATGCTAAGATAATTTTCCATGTGCATGCTTCTTGGATGTAGCATAGCAGAGGATAAAATTTGTTGTATGAAAGTAAACATGCAATGATATGGGCACAATATTCATGGAGGACTATGGAATCCCATAGTCCCATAGCGACTGTATATATTTACATGATTAGATTCATCTGAATAATGGTAGAGCAGAGAAAATGTATACACATTTCTTTTTTTCTTTGCAGCTATGTAGATAAATTCTTTTGTTATGAATTTTCTTGCTATTCTTGCAATTTTAATTGAAATAAGTAAAATAATTGGGAACTGTACTATTTCTGTTTGGTATGAATGAAGAGCTTAATTTTCACAAGGATGTATGATTATTCCGATACTTCTGTATTAATCAGTTAGCCCTCCTACTATTGTCCCAAAGTGTATAAACTGTAACAAAAATTTAATTTTCTGGTGACATATATGCTCTGTAATCACCTGGATATGCAGTGTAAATAAGTGATATTGTCCAGATTGGCAGCTGGAGAACCCAAGCATGGAAATGTTATGTAGTTGTGTAAAGGCCTCATTTGAATCTCTGGTCTGTGGCCCACCCATAGACACCACACTTCAGCAACTTTTGCTGAATGCTGTCATCTTTCTTAAATCCCAATGAAATAACTACATTTTACCTTTTGTTGTTTTTCCATTTTTTTTTTTTTTTAGGGGAATTTGGAGAGGTGTGCAGTGGGCGCCTAAAGCTGCCTTCTAAAAAGGAAATTTCAGTGGCTATCAAAACCCTGAAAGTTGGCTACACAGAAAAACAAAGAAGGGACTTCCTTGGAGAAGCAAGCATCATGGGTCAGTTTGACCACCCTAATATCATTCGATTAGAAGGAGTCGTCACTAAAAGTAAGATATGGCGGGAGTACCTGGTGTTGCATGGGAAGTGTCTCTGGAGGTCCCTTCCGGTCTAAGTTATTCTGTGATTCACTGATCTTTCAAGGCAAAGCAAAAACAAATAACTGAATCATCAGCATTTATGCTCTGCAAACCTTTCTAGAAATGTTTATGTGTTAACCCTGTCAGTATGTACCTTCAAAAGAGATAATAGCAGAAACACGTAGCTTGGCTTTTGCAACGTATATTATATTTCCTCAAAAGCAAGAAAAAATTGCCAATGTGAAAGCACCAGCTAAACTCAAGCTGATGTATCCAGTGAAGAATAGTGTTGGAGGCAATTGCCTGCAGTGCAGCTGCAGGACTTTGACTGTCTTGCTGCCAAGAACTTAGAAACTGTACCCTGGGTTGATGAGCTGAGAAAAATTGAGGAATAAAAATAGTCTGCTTGAAAAAAATAGAACATAGGCAAAAAGAAGCTTTTCTGAAGAACACTACAGCTCAGTAATAAACTGGCATGTTTAATAAACTCCAGAGCTACACATTGCTACAAAGTGGCCAAGAGGCACTTGCTGATAATCTGTTAGGAGTCATGGAGTCTGATATCCTAAGGTTTCCTAATTGTATTGAAGCAATATGTTCCACTTTCAAGTTAATAGTTAGATTTTATCATTAGCACAAATTAATGAACACCCTACCTGGTTGCAACTGATACTAGTAAATTAATAAGTAAGTCCGAACTTTTTCTATGTGGTTTTAATACAGGGAAAATACTCCATGTGATGTATGTACCAGTATGAAGCATTTTAAAGATCCTGATTTTCTAGATCTGCCTTTGGATTTTTTTTTTTTAAGGGTTTGGTTTGATTTTGTTATAGCGTATTTTTGTCTATGTTAACAAATCACCTTCTCTTTTAGAGACTAGTAAGTAATTAAAACCTCCGTCCACTTGTGGTACCTTCCTGGAAAAATGATATACTTGAAGAACACTCTCCAGCTCCATTTCCATTAAGATAACAGCAAGCTGTAACAGGCACTCCTGAGCAGTGGTATCAGTCTTAGAGCTCCTACCCAGCTCTCCCATGGCAGCCGCGGTAGCCTTCTCAAAGCTGCCCAGATCCCATGTGCTCTTCTCCTTACGAGTAGCTGGTGGGATTTCATGCTCGTGATGCTGCCTCATTTAAAGCAAGTTCTGTCTCTCATTGCTTGTGCTGCTGATTGTCCTCTCCCTTGAGGGGGAAAGGCAGAAACAGTTGGTGGTAGAAAGTGGTTGAATGAAGTACTAAACCTGTCTTGGTCTGTGAGACATAAATTCTGTGACTTCAGCTACACTTTCTAAATTTCTATTGTAGCATAAGGTGATACATTTAATGATCAAATTTATCTACCTGCAGTAGTTATTAGGTGGGAGATCAGTAAGAGTTTATATGAGGCATTTTTAAAAAAAAATTCAGGAATGCTTTGAGATTTTTCGGGGGAGTGGAAAAAATTGGTTGAATGTTTCCTAGTTCATCCTAGAGGACTCTGCTGGCAAAGCAGCTCCTTGCCATTTCAGTGACCAGCTTGGAATGTGCTGAGGATGTTTCCAGTTTAACTGGGTAGCAAGTATACCTTTGTTGTTAAGTAGATAACTTTATTGACTTCAAGGAATATTTTTGGGTTTTTTAATTGCATGATTCATGGTTTCATAAACATAGATATGTATGAAAGAATTTCATAGCTTACTGCAATAAATTATTATAAATTATATAAAACAAAGGAACCACAAGCGTGTGTCTAAAAATAACTGCTGAAAAGTATGTAGAACCATATATGTTATGAAGTGACATAGTTACAATAATAAGGCTTTCTCTAGGTATTATTCATAAAAGTCTATTTTGCTGATTTAAATAAGAAAGAAGTTATTGTTCAGCTTAGGTCTTGCAGCCCCATTAAGAAAGGGCTGCCAGGTCTGCCCATATAAATCCAAGTTATCTCTTGCTTTTTAATGGCACACACTTTGTATAGTCAGAATAAGATTTGCAGCCTCAAAATTACTTGAAATGCCACCATCAGCCTGTACACAGCTGAGCTGTAATATATTTTGTTACACTTTGTATTCCTGTGGCACTTGAGAAAATAATTTAATTGCTGTGCATGCAGGAATTTGTGCATTGCTTTGAATGTGCATTACTTATTCTGTCTGTATTCTGTATAAGTGACTATTAGTAAGTTTGTTGCTCAGCTGTATTCACAGGAGGCTGCTGTCTGGTTTGGGGGGCTGGGAGTGCCAGCTGCCTATCACATTAAAGTATGAGAGAGCAAGCTCTGAATATTCCCAGCTGAAGTCAATAAAAGCCTCAGGGATACAACACCCTCTCCAGATAGCTTGAATGTAAGAGTTGAAAAAACTGTTATGGAACTATTTGTATCCATTTTGCTAAATAAAATTATATGGCATAAATGGAAGTAAAGATAATAATTTATTTTCTTTAACTTTTTGTAGGGTGTTAAAAAGAAGAAGGTTGAGAGCTTAGGTTTGGTTTGGTTTGTTTTTTTTTTTTTTAAAACCAAATGCAATATACTGTAATAACAAATTAGCAGATGTTCATACTTTTTAATGGTAGCTATTAAATCACACTCAAAAGCATTAGTTTATGTACAGTCAGTAGAGAGTCTGTGGAGGATTTGCTGGCTCACTGTCAGTACAGGTAATGCATGATAAACAGGTGATGTGACCTTTTCTTTGTTAATCAAATTATTTTTGGCAGATGGCCATTAGCAATGATCTAGCTTTTCATGCTAAGCAGATCCTATGAAGCAACTCCTAATGCCTGCAGTTGTCATGATACCTATAACAGGACTGATTGACATGACAAGTTCTCAAGTTGAGGTGGCTCTGGTTTGCCAGGGGGACAATTCACCAGTGGTATGAAGGAGTTGCACCCACTAAATAAGACTTCAGTACTCTGTGCTCCAATGCAGAGTTGCTCTCTGCATTGCTTCACATTGATTTCTGCTCTGCCTTTTCCTGGCACTACACTGGTCTCCCGGGCATGCTGTAGGCAGTAGTCTTAATAACCAGCACACATGTTCTGCTTAGTTTACTAATAATTTACAGCAATTTGTAGCCTGTTAATGTAATAAATTTCAGCAACACTGTTGACACAAGTTGTTATCATGTATAAATGGCTGTGCTTTGATAAATGAATGCAGAATGTTCCCTTAAAAGTGCACCGTGTTGCTTCTGAGCATGTGTTTTTTATTATGGGCTCGTTTCAAACTGGCCGAGAGTGAAACCCTGCACTTGGGGCTTTCTGAGTGTCGATGAGCAAGGCTCTATTAATAATTTGGAAGACTTATCTTCTTACTCTAATTTCAGTCTTCTGATGTGTCATCAAATTGACCGAGTTTATGCAGAAGCCAGGTTCTGATTTCAAAGAATGTGGATTTCTCATAAAAAGTTTTGGATAGCCCCATCGATGCGCTGCCCTTTACTCGAAAGATCCAGCAGCATTTTCTGTGCATTAACAGAAATACCTTTGGGTTAATGCTACACAGACAATGTAATGTAGGTAGTTTTCCTTACTCTGCATATTTCTTGCTAATAAGTAAAGAAGCAACAGTTAGTGATTGACAGAGCCATTATTGTGACTACACCCTTTAGTGTGGCTCCCACAGTTTAACATCTCTTTTGCACAGCAGGAAGAAGGTATTTTAACCCATTAATCCATGCAAAGAGGACAAAATATTTTCTTTTTATTATATTAAACTCGTTCTTTGAAATTAATATTTCTCTTCTATGAAGTTCTATTTGGTTGAAGTTGTATTTTCTGAAATAAAAACAAAAAAGGAGTTGTTACTATTTGCTTTGCTTTTTTAACGGCTTTCTTGCTTTTAATTATATTGAGTACCTCTTTCAAGCCTCATGCTGTTCAATTTTAAAAGCTGAAATATCACCATGCCTGCTATACAATATGCAGGCCTTTGTCATGCTTTTATGGTCAGATGCCTTCCTGCATTATATGTGAAATAATAATTCATCTCCTTAAATAACTTCATGCTCTTACCTACCTTTCTCTCTACCACAAAGAGAAAATAAACAAAGCTTTAGAAAATATTATGAAATAATAAAATCCATATGACGGTAAAATATTAGCAGGGCAATGACCTTTGTCTGGGAACTTCTCCACAATCACATGAATTTTTGCCTTCATTTCTCTCCAACATGTCAGAGTTGCACACAAAACCTTGGTTATGTTACACATTTCCTTAGGGTAGAAAGAATGGTTTCACAAACTGATCTGAATCTGCGCAGACAAGTTTTGAAAGATATTAGAGGCTTTTCAAGGACGCAAGACTGTTTCTTTAGAGCATGCCACAGCACCGTGGATGCAGTGTGTCCAGCCCTCAGCTGAGTTGTGCTTGGCTGGAGGGGAGGTTTGTGTTATCAGTGATCCCATCACAGAGGGAGGCAGGACTGCCTGGAAAGAGGGCTGACCCCCAGCAGTGGAAGATGGCTGTGTTACAGCTTTTCTTTCCATGCCCTGTGTTGCTTTTATTCTGCACTTTTCCTTCTTTTCTTTCCCCACCCCAAAGTTTTCCTCAGCTTATGCTGGTAAAATACTGAAGCTCTATAATTTAAATGCATTGTAAATACCCTCCCGAGGAAGAGGTCTTTTCCTCTTGCCTCCACGTACACTATTGAATCTCTCCTTTACCACAGTATCTGAGGAAAATATTGAATGTGCCCATGGGGTAAAGCACTACTCCAGTGGTCCTTGAACCTCTGTTGTGAGGTGAAGAGAAGCTGCAGCTCTCTCCACAGAAAGTGCCCAGTTCCCTTCCAGAGGGAACCTGGAGGGAAATGCGTGGCATAGTATACCTCTTTCATTGCATAAATTTGATGATTTTGTGAAGGATTATATTCAATAATGATGGATAAGACACCATATACTGAAAATGCAGAATGCTTCACTTTGTCTCTTGGGACTTGAGCTGCTAAAAATCATATAAGCTTGCGCTGAAATGGCTTTGTTTCTGTTGATGTCTGTGGAATCACAATTATATTATGGACAGAGCTGATTTTACCTATGCATCTTTTGCTTTCTTTCTAAATGTAAAATTATCCTTAGGATTTGGAAGATTTGTGCATATTTCTAAAATGCTTGTTTTTACTGATCATTATGTATTCATTTGAAATGTCTGACCCCTGTAATATATTTGCAGGTAAACCAGTTATGATTGTTACTGAATATATGGAAAATGGCTCTTTGGACAGCTTCCTAAGGGTAAGTGCATTAGAGAAAGAGAACTACATGGTGCAGCCTTGCTCTTGTTCTGAGTTTGTTATGAATTTGCTGCCATTCTACTCTGATTCATCATCAGCTCTTGTTTCTTGATATTTCTGGTCGTTGAGGCTCCATCCCTGGGGGTCTTTAAGGCCAGGCTGGATGAGGCTCTGGGCAGCCTGATCTAGTGGGAGGTGTCCCTGCTCACGGCAGAGGGGTTGGAACTGGGTGATCCTTGTGGTCCCTTCCAACCCTGACAGATTCTGATCTGTTTTAGCAGAGGACTTTAGAGCCCTAATGGCTTAATGGTTGGACTTGATGATCTTAAAGGTCTTTTCCAACCTAAAGGATTCTATGATTCCATTTGAGTTTGTGTGCATTGTGATGTGCTCATAAAGCCAGGTAGGGATCTGCTGGTCCATTTTGACTGGTTGCAGGTAAGTATTATTCCAAAACAAAGAATATTTATTTTTTTTATTAACATGACACATCAGTAAAAAAAAGAAACAACAAACCAAAACAACAATGTTCCAGCACATAAAAATGGAAATTGTTTTTCTGAGTGCTGAATTACTACTATAATGCAGTTACAGTTATTGGTTGGAGGCCTGTATGTCTTACAAAGTGATTTCCAAAATGAACAGCTTTGTGGAAATTTTATCAGTCAACCAAATAGTACTGAGCCAAGACCCATTTCCCTCATTGTGAAAAGTTTAGGGAATAACACCATACCTCAAGGTGTTTAAAAAGTTTTGCTAGGAAACTTTATGGTTCTCTTTTCTTTCCCCAACCTTAGACATACTAATACTGTTGTTGATTTATCTTTGTTTTCTGTCAAAGTTGGTAGAGAGCCTAAAAAAATTTGAACGCTCCCTGTGTCACCAAGATTTACTTGTGGCAAAACAAGAAGTGTAGCAGAAATGAAATCCCATATGAGGGGAAACACTAGTTTAATTTTAATTTGTTAAGGCAAATTCAGCTGTGGCTGGGAGACTGCTTTGGTTCTGCCACGGTTGAAAGACATTATCCCCCAAATTCATAACACTGAACTGGATGTTTAACCCCAAAAGGGGATATATTGTCAACCTCAGTTTCAGTATGTACTATATATGTTTTGATGTTCACTGGAGCATGTAAAAATACACATAAATAATGTGTGAGTATATCTGAATGAAATATATCTGTACTGAACTGTATATATTTTGTTTAGACTGATAATCCTTGAAGAAAGCTCTGAGGAAAGGAGAATTTCTGACTGTACAAAACAGTTGTTCAGCTCATTTGTTCATTTCAGTACAATTTTAATTTTGTTTTGTTTTGTTTACTACTGTTGTATGGAAACATAGATAATAACCTTGTGACTCACTAGTATCACAGGCAACTCAGGCCATATGACACTTTTTATAAATTACTTTTAAAACTAGTTTGTTCATATTCCCCATTGCCATTGAAAGGCTATCCGAGCATCTCATTCCTTTCATGATCAGAAACCTTTGGATTTCTAGCTAAATCTTTTCCAGAGTGTGCAGAGATCTTCTTGTGTTGGTTCTAGTTAAAGAAGGTTTCATAACGGAGAACTGCTAGAAGTCTTTTCTAATAATGAGTTTCTTCATCAAGAGGAATTCTGAGAGGCTCTTTAAGCATCTACTATGCCATATATTTGTCTAATGTTTACAGTGCTAATATTGCCCCGAAGTATATTAATCAAGAATGAAATAAATGCATTCAGTCTTACAGACTGATTCGTGTGAGCTCACCCACATGACAGAGTGAGCTCCCATGTATTTAATAAAATTCTGGAAGAAGCAGCAGGAAGAGCTGGAGAGTTGCCCGTGATGATACATTTACAGTGCTAGGGGATTCATATGAGAGCTGTGCTAGGACACACTGTTGTCCTACCATCTATCCATCCATATATCAATATCAAGACTAGATATTAACAAACAGCATTAGTAAGAGCTGGGAGATTTAAAACATATGTCTAGAAGTAGATAATTAGAAATACATGCAACAGTTGGTTTCTAGGCTAAGTCATGATGTGTTTAAGTGATTTTTGTGTTCTTGAAGGTGAAAAATTTGATGAGTAAGTTCAAGTTTAGTGGAATTTGAAAGTCACTGAATTGGATCAGCATTGGCTTTTGTTAAAAAAAGGCTTGTGTAATAGAAAAGTTTCATTAGTCCATTGGGTAAGGCTGGGATTTTCACTAATAATTCCTGTGGCCTTTCAGAGAAGTTGGACATCCATCCCCCTAATGGCCTGACACTCCAGTCTCATGAGCACGCACAAGTTAGATTTATGGGCTGCTTTCACGCAGGTCTGGTCTAGAAAATTAAAATTCTGATGGCAGCGAGAATGGGAAAAATGAATTTTTATCTGAATTGAAAAATTATCCCTTTCCTCATCTGATTGGGAGATTATCCTCTGCAAATCAAAGTAGTTCCACATGTGGCATTTAGATTGCAGTCTCTGACTTATGGGATCTGCACTTCAGGGGCTTCCAGGGTCCGTATCAAAAATTCTGTGCAAAGAGGAGCATGAACAATCTCTGAAATTACAAATTTAATATTTTCCAGAAACATGATGCCCAGTTCACAGTCATCCAGCTAGTAGGCATGCTTCGAGGGATCGCATCTGGCATGAAGTATTTGTCAGATATGGGATATGTCCACCGAGATCTAGCTGCTCGTAATATCCTCATCAATAGTAACTTGGTATGCAAAGTCTCAGATTTTGGTCTCTCTCGTGTACTGGAAGATGATCCAGAAGCTGCTTACACCACAAGGGTGAGTTTCTGTGATTTCTTATCCTTTTAAACTTCTTGCAGGTTGTAACAAAGTTAGATTGAAATCTGAGGGGAGCCCCTGAGGCTTATGCTCTGTTTTGCAGAGGCCGTCCATCCTTACATGCCCAGAGATGTTCAATAAACCATAAACTCATCACATCTATTTTTTAATGCATGTCTCAGAAAAGATAGAAGAAAAAAAATTATTATTGTTGGTAGATTATTTTTCTTAAAGTATGCAAAATTTCTGACTATTTCTTTCTACTGGATACATAAAGGATTGAATACCACAATTAAGGTTTGAGTTGTTTTGGCAAACAATAATGGAAGAATTAATGGGTGCTTTGAGCAGGTTTTGTTACATTGCTGATTTAGGCCACACTCACTAAAAAAATATCCTACCCAGCAATAGTTACTTTTATTTTTTTAACCTTTTTTTGACTTCTAATATGATGGGACGTTTGTCTGATTGGAACATGCTGAAATCACTGTTCTGCAAGGATGTATCACTTACACCTGCTGTTGTGCCTTTAACTGAGTAAGAACTTAAGTAAAATAAAAAAAAATAAATCTTACTTAACAACATAATAAACCTCCTGTATTTTCTCTTGATTATATCATACACACAAAGTAGTACTCATCTTTTGGAGATATAAAGTTATCAAGGAGGGGACTTCCCTCTGACTGTTTTGTCCTGAGGTAGATAAGCTTTTATCAGATAGGGGACTGCCCATATTGTAGGCTGCTGCTTGTTTCTTTTCTGGATTTCATCCTGTTCTTACTTGAATAACACTTCTGTCTTATTGTGAAAATCTTGAAGGCATACATTTAACTTTGCATATGTAGATACTACACTGAGATATCTGGCTTTTCACTTTAATCCTATTTCAGGTTGATTTTATAACTTTGGAAAAAGTGGCATTATTATCCAGTATCTTAGTCAAGTGTAATTTGCAATGATGCCTAGTGATTATCTCCTTTACACTATTCAAACCAGATTAGAACAGAATGTATCAGCAAAATCTTAATGTGGGTTTTCTAGGGCTTCCTTCATTCCTGATCACTGACATGAGCAATCAATTATTGTGGTAGTTTGCATGCTATCTTCTTCATGATTGAAAAAAAATAACATGACAAATGAGTACAGAAATTCTAGCTGCTTTGTTAGACATTATATGTACATTATATACACATATATTTATAAACATTTATCAATCATACCCTCATAAGTTACCAAGCAGAAAGACTATTCTCTACTTGACCTTTCACTCTCTGCAGAGACCTCTCATGGTTAAAGAGACAGGAGTCTTTACAGTAGGAGATAGCAGTTTTTATGTTCTGTGTAGGTGCAGCACTCATAAGTAAATATTAATATAATGCAAGAATTCCTCAAGAGAAAATTGTCTGTAGTTCAGCCAGAGGTGTATTGCCTTGTCAGATATGCTTGCCTACCCTCTTCTTAAAAACTCCTGTGAAAGAAATGGATGTTACTGTCCCTGAGGTAAACAGTTTTAGATATAGTATTTATCTAGTCTCATATTTAACCTCCCTCCCCCAGGATACACACTTGCAAGCTAAGGCAATTACTCTGTGTCCTACCAACTGCCCATAGGCAGCTGATCGATCTCCCCTTTAAAGCAGCTGCCTAAGTGCATGGAGGTTGCTGTCCTCTGCATGTATCCTTCCATTCCTTTTTTTTTTTTTTCCTAAGCAGTTTTTCCAAACTTACTATTCTTCTTGCTCTCCTTCTCTTTTCAACTTTTTCCTTAAATGTGATGCCTAAAATGGGATACTAATCCCCAGCACCAAGCATAGCATATTTATCTCATGTTTCTTACACATACCTTTCCTGTTAATATCTCCATGGGTAAGAAGTCTCTGTTTCTCCTCCCACTCCCAGCACAGCTTTGCCACATGGTGGGCTCATGTTCTGCTCGGACACATACCTCTGCCAGTCTTTGAAGTTCAATTCTCTTATTCCAAAATTAATCTGGACATGCAATTTAATCTATAATTTAGTAATGGTACTTTGCATACTCATTTTAAGAGCTGAAGTTACCTTTGAGTCCTAGTTAACTGAGATGAAAAAGTTGTCTGGGGAGGAGAAAATAGCTCCCCATAAAACTGCATAGCACAGAACTTTAGAAAGGAAATGCACTTACCTGAAAATGAAGTGCCCATTAGTGACTTATACCTGCAGGTGGCTAGAGCAAACCAGGTTGCACAAGTTGTCAGTGTTTCTGGCCAGTGTTACATGTGAACGTTCTATGGCCAAGAGCAGTGTTGCATTTTTTTCTTTTCTTTCTTCTGTTCTCCCACTTATTTTCTAAGCCTACCTGCCTATTTACATTTAGATAGTGAAATCAGATGGAAAGGAAGTAGTTTGTAAAGTGTAATCATCTGTGTTCAGTAAACTCCATCTGGCATTTATGGTGTATGTGCAGACTGCTGTAGGAAGACGCTCAGATAATTAAAATCTTCAAATACAACCTGGGACAAACTTAATTTCCTTCAAAAGTCCTTGCTTGAATATACCTGTGCCACATCTTGACTCTGAGAGAAAGATGAGGCTATTTGCTATTCATCTTGCTCATTTCCTTTGAAGTGAATCTTGTATGGATGTCCAGGTGGTGTGTCCCTGAGGTACGTTTGATCCCCAGCTTAAACAACTGGGGACTACAAGTGTGAAATAGAGCTCAGGTCCACTGGCAGAAAGCTGGACATCTCGTGTTCCTGCTGCTTAGTCATATCACAAAACGCAGGACTCTTTCCTTGGCTACTCCTACTGCATTGTGCAAGCTCTTCATCATAGAATCACAGAATGATTTTGGTAGGAGGAAACCTTTAAAGATCATCTAGTCTAGCCCTCCTGCAGTAAGTGGGGACAACTTTGACTAGACCAAGTTGCTCAGAGCCCTGTCCAACCTGACCTTTGAACATGTCCAAGGATAGTGCATTCACCACCTCTCTGGGCAACCCGTGCCAGTCTTTCACTGTCATTACCCTAAAAAATTTCTTCATTATATGTAGTCTAAATGTACCCTCTTTTAGTTTAAAACCATTACCCCCTCTCTTATGACTGCAGGCCCTGCTAAAAAGATTGTCCACAACTTTCTTATGGGCCCTCTTTAGGTATTGAGAGGCTGCAATAAGGTCTTCCTGGAGGCTTCTCTCCTCCAGGCTGAACAACCCCATCACTCTCAGTCTTTCCTCATAGTAAAGGTGTTTCAGCTCTCTGATAATTTTTGTGGCCTTCCTCTAGGCCTTCTGCAACACATTCATGCCATTCTTGCTCTAAGGGCTCCAGAACTGGGCATAGCACTCCAGGTGAGGTCTCAGGATCGTAGAGGGGCAGAATCACCTCCCTCAGCCTGCTGGCCACACTTCCTTTGATACAGCCCAGGATACCATTGGCCTTCTGGGATGCACTGGCACATTGCCAGCTCATGTCCAGCGTTTCATCTTCCAGTACCCCCCTATAACAAAACCAAGACAAATAATGTGCATATCCCTGTGGAGGAATTTTTGAGGGAAAACGGGCACGACTTTTATATCTCTACAGCAGTGAGCAACCCAGGCTATGAGGCTGTGTAGGGATATGGGCCAAAGGCTTTTAACTGCTAGCAGGCTGTAGTTAAGAAATTAAACTAATGCTTTAGTACGTCATAGCTAGGAAACAAAACTAAGGTCCTGATAACAGGGGGGAGAGGGTGTTAGAAAACTTAAAACTGTAAGCAATTAGCAATAACCTAAGGTGGGGAGAGCTTGGAACTGTATATAAGCTGGGCTATTTGGGCAGATAAAGGAGAACAACCATAATCATATCGATGTAACGTCATTACTTGGGCTCTTGCCGCTGTTACCAGGTTCCCTCAGCATATCCCTTTATATATTAATACATAATCTGTGATATTCATGCTATTGTACAAGAGCTCTGAAGGATAATGCAAAGATCACAGAGGCGTATGTGAAATACAGGGAGTCGGGGGTTGTAAAAGAACTTTGCTACCTGACGTTGTCTTTTTTGTTTTTTTTTGTTTTTACCACAAAAGGCCTTCAGCAACCTGTGGTCTGCCTGCTTACAGAAGCAGAAGCCAGCATGTGAATCAGGTTGACTGAGTGTTTGGATTTTTGATTTTCCCGAGCCTTTGTGCAAGAGGGGATATTCTGTAATTATCTACATTCTATGTACCTATTCACTTTCAATTGAAAGGCCAAGATTGTGTTAAAATTGTCATTGTCAAATTGATCTTTTTTATTCTTATTATTTTTAGATCTCTCCATGACAAGTGAGTGGACTAATGACACATTATGAACTGGAAGTAAATTTAAGCCATTACACATGCAAAGAGACTGTAGTTATGTCTCTCAAAGGCATAATATTTGGGTAATCAGTAGATGTGCTTTGAGTATTTAAGAGCATAGTTGGACACATCACTGATGTTCATGGCATTTGAATGTAAAATGCTATCCAGTTATTGCATTTGCGTGGATAACTTCTCACTAAATCTCCATCACTTCAAAAAATATTGTGCTTTGACGGCAAGTGTCCTAGCAGCCACTGCCCCCAGGAAATGGTACCAGAGCAGGGGGGGGCGTGGCGAGGCGCTGCTCCGTTGTGTGCCACAGGGAAGGACACGCAGCTCCTTTCTGCTGTGTACACATTATTGTGACTGGTGCTTGGCAGAAGTGGTTTCTGGTTCCCTTGCTGTGTTTTATTCGTTCCCTATATATGCAAAAACATGGTATTACAGTGTGAGTGTGTTGGAGGGTGTGGTAAAAAGGAAACAAACCCCCACAAATTCTTTTGCGTGGTAAGCACGAGGGGGAGAAGCTGTGTTCTGTTCTCATTTACCACTGTAGAAGGAGATAATTTCAGGATAGCATATTCATTAGTAAGGGATGAGCAAGTAGCATCAGGTAATTTTCAGGTGCTTAAGAGAGTAAGTCAGGCTCTTCTCACTCGCATGGAACTGTGTTGTTCTGTACCAGTAAGATATC